ATTTGAAAACAAATTACAATTTTTTTTTTAATCTTCAATCATAATCCCTTTTTTAGGCTTGCACAAGATTATTTATAGAACAAGAAAGCATGTAAATCTCTTAAATTAAAAATTACAACAATGGGTATGCAAATACTATGAACTTATAGACCTTGACATAACTTTACGGCATTTACGTTTTGACCATTTGTTTTAATAAATTTTAATTTTCATTATTTGTTTATAAAAATATAGTATAATCTTTACCAGAAACCATATACACCCAAGCTTGAATCTCTGTGCAACGTTTTGGAAAATCAACAAACTTTCGTAAAAATTTCGAACTTTTTAATTCGATTTTTAAGTAATATTTTGAGTAAGCAGTTTTTCAATTTTACTGCAAGGTTAAGGTAACTGAGTTTTGGCATGATTTTTTTGTTGACTATGTTAGCTATTTTATTCCATACAAAATATTTTCGACGATTTTTTTTGTTATACGTAGAAAATGAGCAACACCTTCGCTGAAAAAAATTCCCAAAAATCAGTGGTAGGGTAAATTGGGCTACAAAACTGCATACTCAAATGTTTCTAAAAAATCGAATTAAAAAGCTCGAAATTTTTATAAAGTTTGTTGATTTATTTTTTTATTTTGCACAAAGATTGAAACTTGGATTTATGCTATACCTTAAAAAAAAATAATTAAAATTAAAAAATTTGAAAATAAATGGTGAAATCTTGCCAATATGTGAGTGTCGTAAAGTTATGATAAGAACTATATGTTTGCATGTCGAATCAAACTTTTTGATACATCTCTTTGTCTATTTCCGCGGTGAATTTTTCACATTCAACTGTGTAACCCGAAATTCGTAGGGGGATTAGAGCAAAATGCGGAGAAAAAGCGCTGCCGCGTTAGTTACCGTTATCGCTAAGGAATTCTACTATCTGGACATTGTCCTTCCTCGGAGAGCGGATAGATACAATTTTCGGGCTAATTATCGTGCATCTAGCGCCGAAGATTATTATCGAAAGGTAATATTTATACCGCTAATACATAATATTTAGCTCGATCTCCGAGAAAGATGAGTTGAACTATTACTTCCATACATATGAAATTAGGGAATATGATACGCTACAAAAGGACGCTATCAGTTTGGAAGGAGAGTATAAAGTGTGGCCAGAACGATGAACAAATGAGGTAAGCGAAAAGCCATTCCCAAAATCAGCAGCAGAAGTTCTGGGTATATGGGACGACGAATATGCTTTTCCGTTGATTAACAAACTTACACTTCTAGCTAGTAACGCTACTTCAGAAAGAAGTTACCCTTCGCTGGTTAAAAACATGCCTCCATAGTATCATGAATGAAAAAATACTGATAGGTCTAGCACTTTTAGACGTACACTTAGGGCCAGTTTTTCAGTGCACGGTCGTGGTTTAAACTTAGTCAAATGCCAGTCAGCTGTTTATTTTAAATTCAGTTTACCTAATCTAAGTTTAAACTGCAACTGAAACTGGCCCTTAGATATAGAAATTGACACTGAACGGATAATACAAAGATTCCCAAAAAAAGCGCAAAATTGAGTTGCAATTTAAATTATTATAATCAAAATTCCGAATAAGTTGTTAAGTTGCTTAATTACATCCCTCATTTGACAAACATTATAAGTAAAAAATAAGTAAATACACAAATAAATACTGCTTTAATGAACCCAGAGCATAACTTTTTATCTTGTGCTTTTTTACAAAATAGTATAATTGTTTTATTACATGAGACTCTGTAAAGGGACCTTGCGCCAAATTCACAACATGAAACTTTTTGAAAGTAAAATTATATCACAAAACATTTTAATTCGGACTTCATAAAAATTATTAGAACCTCTACTTGTGTGAAAAATAAATGAGGGTTCAAGTAGGTTGTCTTGTAGGTCATATAGCTTCGATTGGTCACTCCGCTATGAATTAAGTTAGATGCCTGTAATTTAACGTTATTCGACATGTCCATCCCAATCGCTCCTCCCCAAATAAAATCCTGTATCCGCCACTGGCAACATATGCATTGTGTGGCTGAGTGAAGTTGATAATACTAGTGGCAGAAATAAAAGAAACGCCTTATTTCAACCAGTTTAGTCTATATTTATTTTCTTTATTTAATATTTAGATGTTTGTATAAAAGTGTACCTCATTTTATATATAATTAACTGCATTTAAATGCGCATTACAAAATTTGTACACAAATTATAAAAGTGCAGAATAACTTGCCAAAATTTCAAACTTTTTACTCAGTATTTTTAGAAACATTTTAGATACGCAGTTTTATAACCCATTAAATTAAAGTAGGGTAAAATGAAGTTTCATGCAATTATAAAATATCGTTGATTTTTGGGAATATTTTTCATATAAAACTGCGTTTTTAGTTTTAGACTTTTTTTTACTACAACTTTATAAATTCAAAGATATCATAAAGTCTAAAAAAAATTATTTAAAAAATTCAGTGCAACGTAGAATAAAAATGGGTACCAAATGAAAGAGAAAATTCTGTAGGATTAAAAAAAAATAAAATTTTTCGGGTTCACAAGGACGAATAGGTATTGAAATGCCTTTTTAATCAATTTTATTTTTTTGAGCTAATAAAGTTAGGAGGACTATATTCGAGGACGTTGTCGAGTTTATATCAGTCTTTAACATATAATTTTTTCAAAATAAATACTGAAAAATTTCCAGGGCATTCAAGGATACAATTTTTAAGGACATTTTCAATACCTTATGCACCAAAAAATTTAATCTGTTCTTTCTCTACAGAATTTTCTCTTTAATTTGATACGCCCATGGCTTCGCGAATATATTGATTTTTTGTATGTAAAATTGCCTGCCGCACGGTGTTATGTATATGTATAATTAGCTAGACATATATAAAAAAAATATTAAATATGAAACAAAAGAAATACATATAGCGAAAACTGGTCAGCATAAAACATTCTATTATTGCCACCATTGCAAATTACAAATCCCGAAAATCCTGCGATTCTTAACAAATAATCCCGGAATTTTCGGGACGTAAAAAGTCCGGGCTCCCGGGATCAACATCCCTAGTATGTACCAATTGAAATAAGACATATTTTTTTATCTTTTGGGTTTTCTTCTTGTAAATACCAAAAAAAGTTAAATCTAATTGTTGAGTATTATATTGTGTTCTTGTCTAGATAAGGTATCAAGAGGTGGAGTGCAATAAGGCCCGTGGTAATAACGCCCATGGACTTTATTTCCCAAAAAAAGAGAAATAAAGCCCATGGACACGATAACATTCCGGACACGATAACTTTCCGCCAAAAGCTCTTTATTTAACAAGAGATCTCATATCACTCTTCTTGGCGACGGTTTTTAATATGATCGGAATTCCATAGAGGTTTTGAGAAAGTCATATATGTCACATGCTAGAATCCGAAAAGGTGATGTATCCTTATCAATTTGCGTTTAAAAAGGGTTGTGGCACTGAAGAAGCGGTGGTCAACGTTGTCAATATTGTTTGTGATGGTTTGGACAAATGATATTCTGGTGTAGCTGGAATGTTTTACGAATTTAGCAAAGCTTTTGATCTGGTTGATCATAGTATTTTATTGCAAAAACTTGAAATGTTAGGTATAATGGGATAGAGAACATAGACTGATAACCGATTAGATACCTCTCGAGCCGTAAACAATATGTAGAATTAAATAGATCAATAAGTAGCTTAAGAACTATTACCTATGGTGTGCCGCAGGGTTGTGTCTTGGGGCCGATATTATTTAAGTTACACATTAACGACATTAAAAATCTTGATTTAAATGACCGTTTTGTAATGTTTGTGGATGATATAAGCTGGTTTTATCCTTACAAACACCCTGCAGTCCTAAAGGTTCAGATTGAACAAGATGCCATAGTGATTTCTGAGTTCTCGCGTTTACATAAATTGGTCATAAATGCAAAGAAAACAAAGTTTATTCGGTTTAGACCTCTTATTATAAGTCAAGCGAATCAAAATCTCAGCGTGTATGTCGAAGATGAGGAGATCAAAGCAGTTGACTCAGTTAAATATTTAGGAGTACGTCTTTCCCGGAATTTATCTTGGAGTGTCCATATTGATTCCATAAAATCAAAAATATCTCGAGCTATTGAGATTCTTTATAGATTTAAGAATAAGCTAACAAAAGAAAATTAAATTGTCCTTTTACCAATCACTCGTTCATAGCCATTTAACTTATCTTCCGATAGTGTATGCCCATAAAGTAACCAATGAACTTAGGTCCCTGCAGTCATGTCAAAACACTGCACTAAAGCTTGTATTTAACCTATCAAGAAGGCATTCAACGTTAAGTGTAAGAGTATACTAAGTCAATACTACTAGTCTTTGGCTTATATGAAAAGCAGCTATTAAATGGTATTGGTTATCATGTTTTGAAATTTTATAGGAACCAATCAATGTTTGAAACCCGAAATAGTGAACTGCTTAGAGTAGCTAGATGTCGGCTAGAGGTATCGAAGTAAAGAATAGAATACGCCGGACATAACCAATTTAATAAATTACCTAATGCCATTAAAACGATGGAACGTGTATCGATTTTTAAAACCGAATTAAAAAGCATCTTCTGGAAAGTATCGAATCGTTTCTTATGTAAAATGCTAGGTATGGAGCATATAGGCATAAGTTAATCTAATCTAATTCTTTCTAATCCTTTCTGAATCATTATTTTTTTTTTTTTAATGCCATTTAAGACAATATCACAACAGGTGCGATGGTTTCTACAACTGCGTTAATCTAAGAGGTAAAATAAGGTAAAATATTAAACACAAAATGCTTGGACATGATGAGAATTAGTATCAAAAGAAGATGACAGGTATAGTGAATACCTATAATCACCAATATGTACAATATTTGAAAGAAAGAAGAAAATCGGGCTGGTTTTCTTTTCTGTGGAATCGACCATATATTAATTTTATTAAATATACACTAATATTTTAATTAAATATTGAAAGTACGTACATTTGTCTCACTGCTGGGCGCTTCCGTTGTTGTGTTAGTTGTTGTTGTCGACGTCGCAGATGTTGTGGCAATTGAAACTTTTTTGAACGGCGCCACTGCTACTGTATTTGTGACCAGCATAAACAGAGCTGTAAATAAGAAGTTAATTGAAAAGAGTTATAAAAAATCTGGTTTAATTAAATCCAAATATATAACATAAATTATCCTAAAATGTTTTAATAGATAAATAAATTAAAATAGGTTTTGAAGTTGTGTATCCAATTTCATATCATAATTTCAAATCAATTCTGCCCCCATTCTAATAAAGTGCTCTGGTTCGATTAATGGTTTTTTCTCAAGTCTTACGTAAAGTTTCCAGCATTTAATAAAAAAAAAAAACAAGTTAGAAAGTCTAAGTTCGGGTGGAGCCGGGTGGATATGTTTTTTCACCTTTCCGAAAGCTACCACTAGATGGTAAGCCGGGGTGTATCAATTTTGAGTAGCGTCCTTAAATTTCGAAATATTGCAGTTTCAAGCATTTCTGAAATTTACCGTTATATGAAAAACGGCCGTAATTTTAGTCCGATTTCAATAAATTTCAACGTTTTGCTTTTATGTGGCAAGTACAATAAAAATACCGAGTTTGGTACAAATTGGTAGAACGGTTACCGATATACATACATATATGTGATCATAAGTGGGCGGTGCCACGCCCATTTTCCGAAGTTTTACCATAAACGTATTTCTTGGTAAAGAATTGTTGCAAGCATCAATTTTGAATAAATTAGCTTTAATATTTACTGATTTATCGAAGATTTTGTTTTTCTCTAAATAACCGTTATATGGGATGTGGGCGTGGTTATTGACCGATTTTTTAAATTTCGGCCATTTATTATGCTGTACCAAGGCCAACAACTGTGCCATGTTTGAAAGAAATCGGTGTAGCGGTTACCAAGATATACACATGTAACCATAAGTGGGCATGGCTACGCCCATTTTCCAAAAATTTATAATATTCTTATTTTTCGTATAAAAATCGTTGTAAATATAAATTTTGAGTGAATAATCTTCAGTAGTTATTAAAATATCGCAGTTTTCGTATTTCCGAAAATTACCGTTATATGGGATGTGGGTGTGGTTACAGTCCGATTTCGCCCATTTTTAATACCAACCTACCTTGGATTAAGGGAAACCTACATACCAAATTTCGTTGAGATATCTCAATTTTTGCTCGAGTTATCGTGTACACGGATGGACGGACAGACGGACGGACAGACGGACGGACAGACAGACATGGCTTAATCGATTTATTTTTTCATCCTGATCATTTACATATGTATACATTTGTCTATATCTATCTCGATTCGTTTTGGCCGTTAAAAACAACTGTTATGTGAACAAAGTTAATATACCCTTGTGCACAAGTGCGCTCGGGTATACAAATTTTGTAACTTTTCCTTAAAACTTTCTGTTTCGTTTACATTAGCGACGCTATGAGTACATTCATTTAAATCTTCCACAAAAAAAGACTAAGGTTCCAATTATAAAAGTACAGTTTCAAGCCTTTTGTTGATTGTTGTCAAAAAGGCATTTTACAAAGACCATACTTCAAATTCATAAACAAGTTCTTAATCTTAATTTGAAATTTAAAATTTTTCGGAATTACGGGATTTGCTTGCATTAATCGGGACCTCAAAAAACCGGGATCCCTTGTATGGACCTATGTAAGTATTTCATTATGTTGCTGAGAATAATAAAAAAGGTAGTGAAAATTTTCTCAAAAACAGTATACAGTGTACAATGTACAATGTATACACCAATGGAAATAATCAAAACCAAACTTTATGATGAGAAACTTTTCATCAGATAATTATTAATTAATATTTCGGATCCTTATAATAAAGAAAGTATTCAGCTTGTATAATTACAAGAGTAGAACACAAAGGATACAAATTAGTATTGATACTTACACGCCGTTATGAGCTGCCATCGCCTGGCTTTTTTCATGTCTGTAGTTTGATGTCTGAAAAGAATAAAAGATAGTTAGTTAACCTTAATAATTTAAATAATAACACAGGCCAACAAAAATGGAGGAAAAAATTGATGCAGTAAATGCTAAAACTGTAGACTTTCTTTGTGCCGATTACGAATCCGTAAGTTTAAAGTTTCCATGAGCTCCAGATTTTACGAAAAACGAAGTGAAAATGTCAAAAATCGCGATTTTTGCAATATTTGAGAAGCTCTAGTTAAGAAACAAAAGATGAAGGAACATTCCACTTGGGTTAAGATTAAAGCTAGAATTCTCGACTACTATCCCTGAAAATACCATCCCTGCAAATTGGCCTGGAAATAATCTAAATTCGATTCCCTCGTCGAACAAAAGAAAATCATCATTCCATGTTACATGTACATAAGACTTGATATCTATAAAAATTTAGTAAATGGCTTTAAAACACGATACAACATTTACCTACTTAAAATAATGGCTCCATTCAATAACTTTTCCAGTAAGTACTTAAAGCGAGGGCGTAAAAGAAAAATAGAGAATAAAATTTAGAGCAAGAGAAAATGATCAAAAAAAGTAAAAAAAAACGCAAAACTAGTAAAAACTTGCAACTTACGAAATTTTAATACTTTCAGATAGTTAAGTTTTGGCGCGCAATTTTCTTTTTAATCGTAAATAGTAAAATTTGCCTTGAAAGCTTCTAAGAAGTGGAAAATCTGTTAGCTCTCTCAAAATTTTAAAACATCGTCAAAACTTTTGTTTTCTTATTTCTTCAAGTAAAGAAGTGTATACAGCAAATAAGTTAAACAGTAGTAGTTTACGATTTTATTTTGGTTGAAAATACACATATGTATGTATGTACATAGATACACACATATCGAGCCCTAATCGTCAAAAAGATGGAGCGACATTTTTTCAAGATTTTAATTTTGATGCTCTAGGAAAATTTCTGCATCAAAAAGAAAATTTTGAAAAACTGTCGCTAACATCTTTTTGGTGGTTAGGGCTCGATATGTGAAAAAAATCTCGACGTGCTAGAAATTATATATTTAATAATTTGTGCTAAAAAGATGGAGTTTTGCGCTTTACTTAAACAAAATGATTAAGTTACCTGCTAGGGAAAAGGGATATTTCCATACCCCGTATACCATATATGTACACGTATTTTTTTAAACAAAAAAAAAAAAACGAACGAAAAAAATATTTGCTTGTAATAAATAAATTTAAAATTTGTATGGCTCACTTCATTTCAAAAGTTTTTTCTTTTGTTTTGAAAATTAAAAAATAAAAATTAAATTGAGCGAAAACAAAAAGCAAAGCCAAATAAAAGAAAAAGAATCAACATTGCACTGCGTCAAAATGAAAATAAGGAAGCACGAATTTCGATGTGAAGCAAAACGCTCTGAGAAGACAATACCTGTAATTATTGTACCATGATCTAAAGAAAATATGAAATTTGAAGACATCCAAGATATTGGAATGTATGGGCGAAGAAAGGGTGGTTTTCATTATGTCATATTTTGACAACAACATTTATCAACAAATTTTGACACAAATAGCCAAAGCTTACAAATAGCCGCTTTGGTAGTAGATGTACACGCCTGAAGGCCTGTTCTGATCTAAATCAATCAAAAGGCCATTTTTTAGTCCCATTTGACAATTTGTTTTCACTCATTTGAATTTGACTTAGTGAAAATAAGATTTAAAATTAACAAAAAAAATTAGGATTTTGAGGATAGCTAAATAAAGTGGTAATTTACATTTGGCTGCTCTTAATGAATGTAAAATGTTTAAGATAATACATAATATGACTTTTTTAATTTCTTCCTTTTGACAATTTTTCTTTAGAATTGTTTATTCTTCAAAATGAAAGCGAAGCTCCTCCCGTGCCTACAAGTAAATATATTAGCACGGCAAAAGAAAAGAAAAAAATGCATCTAATCAAAAGATGATTGTACCTAAAATCTAGTGACTGTACCTAATATACCTTTCAGTCATTAAACGTTGGAAAAAGGTACAATTATTCATCACTGGCCTGTACATAAATTTGGACAAGGAACTCGTTCAATATCCTCTTCAATATTAAAGAACAAATCGTATATTTGCATTTATTTATTACATTTAAGAATTCGTTTGTTCTGATAAAAAAAAGCACAATATTTTGCGGCAATGTCGTGTCAATGATCCAAAAATGGTATTTAAATTACAAATTTTCGTTTCTTCTTCGCTGTGTGACAATTCTTTTAATGCTTGTTTTCTTGCTTTGGCTATTTATAATTCGAGTCACGTCCTCGCCATTACAAAGCAAGACCTTATGTTGCCGTTCATACGAGTGCTATCCAAATACATATGTACATTAGACTGCATCGATCCCCATAGAAAAAAAATCGGTATCGTTTTTCCATTATAAAATCTATTATATTGTATGGTGAAGCCAAAATATTTTAGAAAAATATTAAGATTTACGTGAGCTGGACTGATTTAAAAATACCTCCAAAAATTTAGCTTTTTATAAGTATTTTTTGAAAAAAATCTCCTCAGACAAAATAGTTTGGGCTTAAAAAAATTTGCACGAAAATATTAAAAAAAACATGTATGGAATTCTAAATATTCAGATTTTTGATGTTGTTGTTGCACTTTTTTCAAAGAGTGGTTTAAGATAAACATTAATAACTCAGCCAAAACTTTACCGTTTTGGACTTAACTCTGGGGTATCACTGGAGAGGTATTTTCTCACCTTTTTTATTCCTTTGCAAATAAACTTATTCAAAGTATGAAAAAGAAAGGTAAGATGATCGAGCGTCATTCAAAGTTGATAAGATGTGTTGATATTTGTGAAAAACAAAATTTGGACGTGAATAAGTTTTAAAAACTGAGAAAATATCTTACAACTGATACCTGATAAGTCTAAATCGGTAAAGTTTTGGCCAAGTTATTCAAATTTTTCTTAAACCAATATTTGAAAAAAGTAAAAAAGACAGCATCAATAACACAGGCCAACAAAAATGGAAAAACAATTTGGTGAAGCAAATGGTAAAACTGCTTTTGATATACTCTTTTGTGCTGATTACGAATCCGTAAGTATACATTTTTAATCTGCTCCAAACTTTGAGAAAATGAGCTCAAAGTGTCAAGAACCCAGGTTTTTTGCAATATTTTGGAAGCTCTAGCAAAGAAACCAAAGGTGATAGAACCTTCCACTTAGGCTGAAATAAAAGCCAAAACTCTGGACTACTATCTGTGAAAATACCGTCGCTGCACCTTGAACTGATGGTCGCTTATAGTCATTTATTGAACGGCAAAAACTGATTTTGGCGAAGTTTGAGTACCTACCGCAATAAAGCAAAAGGTGAAAGAACCTGCCATTTAGGCTTGAATTTCGACTACAATCCCAAAAAATACCATCCCTGCACCTTGAGCCTAAAGTTATTTATAGTCATTTATTGAACAAGAGCTTAATATTGCAGTATTTTGTTATTGTTTAATAAATGACTATAAGTGACCATCGGGTCAAGGTATAAACGCTTGCTTTAATTTAAGCCTTAGCGGAAGGTTGTATAAACTTTTCTTTTGCTAGAGCTTTTTAGCTTAGTAACTTTTTTGGTGATACAGTCTGATATACATACATACGTTCGAGCAGGTACAAGGTACAAGTCCGCAGGGTGTGTGTGTAGCGATAAGTAGGTGCAGCCCAGGGACGCCAACTTGTGGGGAATTCCCCGATTTGCGGGGAATTTCAGTTTGCGTGGGGAATCGGGGAATGGACAGTTTTTTGTGGGGAATTTCAGCTCGTTCAATTCTAGTATAACAAAGTGTCAAATGGCTAAAAATTACCGTTGATTTTTAAGAATTTTCTTTGCATTTGCTTTCATATAGCGAATGCCCATAATTTATTTTTATATGGAATAAAACAGCGCAACAACTTAGAAAAAAATCCTAAAATGGATATTTTTCGCCATTTGAAACTTGCACTTTATTATTTTAAAATTGAGTGGGCTACAAAATTGCATACTCAAAATATTTAAGAAACTTCAATTAAAAAGCTCGAAATTTTTACGAAAGTATGTTGAATTTTACTCAAGTATTGCACAAAGTCTGAAACTTGGATTTATACGGTTTTTGTTAAAGAATAAACTATAATTTTATAAAAAAATAACTTAAATTAAATAACAAAAAAATAATACTAATTTTTTATTTAAATATCATCTAGGTACATAAATATTTTTTATTCTTTATTTGTTAACTACCTTTATAAACGTTTGGTTGGATTTATCAATACATAGGTTAATTGCGTTTAAAGATAAAAAGAAGAAAGACCAGTAATTTATCAAAAATATATAAAAAATATATCAAAATACAGATTTATTATTTTTGTAATCTATGAGATATCTATGGGGAATTTTACGAAATTTCGCGCAAAATCGGGGATTTCATTGTCAAAATTGGGGAATTCTTAAATATGAGTTGGCTATCCTGGTGCAGCCGCTCAAGAGCAGGTGCAAGCGCTGTGGCTCAAGTTAATAATTGCGGGGGTAGTGCTTTCAGACACGCAAATTTAGGATTATACATAGCTCTGTTACTTTGTAAAAATTAGTAAACAAAAGAAAATTCAAGTTTTATAGATGATTTTTGTTTTTGGTTCAAAGCCTTATTAAAAATGCATGAATGTATGCATGGGCGTTGCCAGGTAGGGACAGGGGGGGAAGGTTCTCGATCCCCCCTTAACTTTCAAATTTTCCTTATATGTATGTATATAAAATATGCATACGCCGATGAATGTATGCATGTATGCACAATGTGTATATGTAAGCTGACTGGAAGCTTTTCAACCATCCGCCAACACTCTAGGCATGGGTAACACTGCGCTGCGCGGCGCAATTCGTTAACAGCGTAGCCGGAGTTGCCGCGCAAACACCAGCATATGGAAAGCGCCAGCGCCATTAAAACCAAGCAACACATGAGGCACACACACAATTCGCCTTTTGAAAATTTACACGTACTTTGTTTTTGCATTTGAG